CCCCCCGGCCGCCCGTGCCGTCTGATTGGCCGCGATGCCGCTGCGCGCCCGCCCGCGCGCCGCTCCGCCGAGCACCATTGAGGCCGGCTGGGTGGGCAGGGGAGGCGGCAGCCAATGGGCGCGGCGCGATTTGCATGGCTCCGCCGAGAACGTTTTTCATTCATAAAAAAATAGAAGGGGAAGAGGCTAGCGGGTGGGGCTGGGGCAGCGCAGGATTTAAAGTGGCCGCAGCCTGTTCCAGGAGTGGGGCTGGGGCGTTAACGGACGGCATTGGGGGAGGGCAGATCCGGGGGCATGCTGCTCCATGCACTCCCGTGCCCGAGAACCTGCCGCATAGCAAGCTCTGCAGATGGAACGGACCTCGGGCCTCACATACCATGGGGTCCCCAACGTGGGGTCCCCTCTGCTTTCTTGGGGAGGTGGTTCTGCACCAGCAAGGTGGTGTCACACGGGTCCCCCTGCGAGCTCGGGGCTAACCCACGCCTGAGTGCTGGCTTTGGCAGCCTTTCTCCTTCAGGCAGAGCCTTTGAGAAGGGCTCTTGGGAGGAGGCCGTAGGAAAATAGTTCCCACCTGCAGGGGCTTTGGGGCTGCCCTGGCCCTGGATCCCCCTGCTGTGGGTTTGTGGACACAAGCCCTTGCAGGACTGCAAATAGCTCAGAGGACTGGGAATGAGTTTAGCATAGAGCCATGCTGCTGGGGGCCTGCCAGGCCCCCACCCCAGCGTTGCTCTGCCACGTGCCTCAGTTTCCCCATCTGTAAACTGAAGGTGGTGAGACCCGCCATGGAGACCTGCCAGTGGCAGCTCGGGGAGGATGCAGCAGGTTACACAGGAAAAATGAACTGTGTGGAGGCCTCATGTTGCAGAGCGAGACCAGGATATTAATTGCTGGAGAAGGGACAAAGAATAGTACTCGGTTACGTATTGCTCTTCACAGCTTGGGAAGGAGAAGAGCCTTCTGCTCGGATCCTGGGAAGATGCCCAGGGGCTTGGATGCCTGTTGGTACGGGGTTGTCATCATCATTTTGAAATACACAGGTCATGGGCTTGCTGGTGTCCTGGGAGAGCTGCCCAGCACATCTCTGGGCTGCTGATGGGAATTCCTCTGTCAATTTTGGCATACTGATGAGCTTCCAGAGTCCCTTAGGGCTACCACCGTCTCCCAGGGATGACGCTGGTAATGGCAGGTAGCTTGTTTCCCATCGTGTCATGGGTGAAATGGCGGGTGGGGTGCTACCAGGATATGCCGCCTGCCGTGTGCCTGCGTGCTGGGGGGTGGGGGCGAAGCACGCAGGGGGCACGGGGTGTCCTTGCCGCCTGGGGATGGCTCCCAGGGGGCTCTGCAGGTGCTGGTGCTCTCACTTCCCCTCTGCAGGCAGGCAACCGGGATTAAATCACCACTGGTAAAATTAGCAGATGACACACGAACAGGCAGGTGGCAAAACCTGGGCCGGGGAGCAAGGCTGGCTGCTGGGGACGAGCCCAGTCATCACAAAGCTGGACACAATCGGCGACCCAAGGCGGCCTTGGTCCCGCACTGGCCAGGGGCTGCTCAGCACCTCCAGGTCTCTTGCTGTCACCCAGCACAGGGAGAGGTGAGGGGGCAGGCGGGTGGGAGGCCGCAAGGGTGCCTTGGGAAGAGCTGAAGCCCCTGGAGAGCCAGGGCTGGGAGGGGGGATAGCAACCAGCGCCTGCTAAATTTAGAGCCCACCCGGGAGGGGGAGAACAAAATTGCAGGCTCCAATTTTAGCCAGTTGCAGCTCCTGCTGAGGACCGCTCCATCACGCTGCCACTGACAACTTCATCCCCGGCACCCCGAATCGGGCACCTCCCCTTTGAGTCCCTGAAGGTGGGGACCCCATGCCTGGCCAGGAATCGGGGAACCCCAGTGCACCCCAGGACCAGCCAAGTATTTCATCATCATCTTTATTTGAGGCAAGCCCACAGCAGTCCAGGTGTACATGGCAACACGCACTACGCTACGGACACCATTTCCATGCAGGCAACCACGGCTACGCACATAGCAGGAGGACGGGACTGGGGGTCCCACAGCAATAGGTTCCCCAGCAATCAGGGGTCCCCCAGAATGGCAGCAGCTCGGCGGACTGCTTGTGCACTGGCACCAATGCCTGGGGCTGGGGGGGGGTGTTTGGGGGGTCCATCCCGTGGCCTTTGAGGGACAAACGGGGCTGAGCTGGGAGGTGCTGAGGGAGATTGGGGAGATTGGTTTCAGAGCCTCGCGTGCCTCTCGGCTGCATGGCATGTTCCTCCCTGGAGCCGGGGACAGCCAGGCTGGCATCCCAGCCCCTGCAGGTCCCCTCCTGGGCTGAAGATTTTGCACCATTGGACTAAGGAGGTTGTTAGCTGCCAGGCCTGTTGAACCATGGCTTTGGTATGGTGGGAGCGGATCAAAGCTGTGTCCCCCGGGGGAGGTGGCAGGAATCGTCTCACTGATCATCAGAAGGGGATGTCTCTATCGGAGCCCGTCACCCTTGGCAGACTGGTGCCAGTGTGTCATCATTCCCCCGTGGTCCAGGGTGGCGGCCCTGGGCTCCCTGTACCCTGCAGGACATGTGTTTGGGTGCTCCCCCTCCAGCTTTGAGCTCAAACAAACACTCCTCGCCCCCTGGCATGCTGCCGAACAGTGCCCGCTTGATTCCCCGGCTCTGGCACCACTGATGGCAAACTGCAGCAGAGAGACCCAAGTGCTGCTCTTTGCCCAGAGCCCAGCAAACCGTGTCTGGGTGCAAGGAGCAGGTTGGTGGTGAAAAACATTGCCGATTCCATACAGGCGCTTTCTAATCGGAGGCCTGGGATAAAACCCTGGGTCAAGGCCAAGCGGGCAGGGAAATGGAGCCAAACCTGCTGCTATAAATGCCGCTGACCTCGTGTGTTGTCATCCCACAGATCAAACCCATCAACCTGTCTGCTGGCAAAGCTTGGTCGAGGGGTTTTTTTCCAATGGAGGCTGCTGGTCCAGGAGACCTGGGGTTTATTTGGCCTAGCTCCCCTACGCTTTCACCTGGCTACTCATTAATGGCCGGCCGGGGTGACGAGGAGGAGGAGGAGAAGGGGGGATTTATGCACGGCAGGTGGAGCGTGCCCATGTATGCAGCTCACGGCTCCGGTGAGCTGTGGTGACCCCTGTGCCTGCCAGCTGGGCCCATGCTTGCTCCCGCTCGCTCTTCGGTGCTCTCCTGCCTTGCAGTGAGCACCTGCCCCCAGCTCACCCTCGCCCTGCCCGAGGGCAGGAGGAGAGGGAGCCACCCCGTGGCAGCCCACTGGAGCCTCCTCCTGCGCTCTGGCCACGATGGGGACTCGTGGGCTAGAGGCCAGCTGGGAGTCCACCTCCTCCCATGTCAGCAGGGCCCTATGGCTGCTGTCAGAAACAGCCCTGAGCTAAAGCTTGAATGGGCGCACAACAGCACTACTGTCTCTGCCTGGGGAGGGCGACAAACGGCTCCCTTTCAGCTCACTGTTCGCTCTGAAGCATAGTGACGGCAGCACCCTCTGCACTACCAGGGGAATGCTATTGAATGGGAACCTGCAGCATGAGGAGAGACCGGGCGCTGGGTCACTGGGGAGGAGAGGGTGGCTTGTCCCAGCCATGGCTCCCAACCTTCTGGCAGGGGCATAGCGGGGACAAGCAGCAGTTTTCCTGCCTGCAGCAACATCCACAGGGCACATGCTCCCGGCTTGCTCACAGCGGCACAGGGGCCTCCGCCAGACCTGAGGGAGCTGCCTGGGAGCGGGAGCTGATTCAGGAGCCAGGTGTCCCCCTATGCAGGGCCACCTCAGGAGGCAGCAGGTGCCTGCAGAAGCAACCAGCAGCCTTTCCGTGGGCCAGTCCTGCCAACTCCCAGCTCCTGGGAGCGCCGTGAAGCGGGGCACACATGTAGACCACCACGGCCTCCATGCATTCATTCGTTTTCCGGGCCCCGTTGCATCCTGGGGAGAAGCTGCGTCCCGTGGTCTCTCCCCATGTGCCTAGTGGGAGATACATGGGTGATGCCACCGAAACCTGCCCGTGCACCCCGGCTGGGTGAGGAGAAAAGGAGCAGCCAGGTGGTGAGCAGTGGGTGCCCCTGCAGGCAGGGGCTGGCAGCGGCATCTGCGAAGCTCCTTGGCTTCGGGGTGGGTCAGGGGGGAGACCTGGCTGTGTGGAAACCGAGGTGCAAGAGCTCTTCACTGCTCCCTGCAGCCATCCAGGAGCACCGGAGGCAGCACAGCACATGAGGAGATGTGTAAAAAGGCCAGGGGGGACACTTCCAAGCGAGAAGAGCTTCTGGATGTCGGTCCCCAGCCCCTGGCACAGGCTGGCAGGCTTTAGGAGAGAGGAAAGTCCACTTGGAAGGAAGTGCCATGGGGGACAGCCAGCAGAGAAGGGAGGTGGCGTTCGTGTCCAACTAGGGCTCATAAAAAGAAGGTGAGCCCCAAAGTCCCCCCAAAGTTTGCTAAATAAATACATAAATATGAACACAAAGCCCAGAGCCAGGGCATGGGGGCTTCCCAAGAATCAGCCCCCAAATCCCTTTTTTGCCACTTCCATGTCAAAACACAGTCTCCTCCCATCCACCCCATGCTTGCCCCCATGGCCCAGGCACCATCTTGTCTGTCCCCAGCCCATCCCATGCCTGGCAGCTCGCAGGGCTGGCAGTGAAGGCTGGCTTTGCATCTGCTTAAAACCCATCCCAGAAGCGCTAGCTGAAGGCATGGCAGAGACCATCTCCTCTAGGCTAAGAAAATAAATAACTTCTCCAATGTGCAAGGTGGACAGAAAGCCAGTGCAGCAAAACATCGAGTGTCTTTCAAGGGGATTAAAAATAAATAAGTGAAGCTTGGCGTTTTCTCAGGAGCGCGTTCATTTGCAGCTCTGCCGGGGCAGGCAGCAGGGGGGTTATTTAAATAAAGGCAAAAAAACTCCAGTCATAGCACTGCTCCAGCGAATGCACTCCCCGTGCATCGGCCTGCCTTCGCCCACCACTTCCATCCCAGCTGGAGAAGACGCTTGTGGTGGTTGGGAAGGAGCCTCCAAGACCTTCCCAGGACAAAGCATCCCCACTGGGCTTGGGGGGTTGTTTTTTCTCCCCACTCTGGAGCGGGGATTTGGGGACCCCCTGCAGCGGGCGGGTGTCTGGGATGCCACGTGCCTCTGGACCATGGCTCCTTGCACGCTGCTTAATCTCGAGTTCGGTTTCTCCTCTTCAGGAAAAAGAAGCTGCTCTTCTGTGGGGGGCCCAACAGCATCGGCACTTGGCTTTTATGTGTAATTTTGACCTAAAAAGAAGTGAAAAACCCAGTTCAGTAATGGGCTCCTGGGCTCTGAGCCCTCCCGGGCATCCCCCAGCCTGGGGACCCCAGGGAGTGACCCGAGCAAGTCGGGAGCAGCTCAGCACCCAGCACCGGGGTGAGGAGCTGCTGCCAGCCCCCAGCTGGGTCGTTAAAATGCTTTGCTGCATGGGAGTAACAGCTTCGGAATCACATCCAGGCAGCGCTGGGACGGGCAGAGGGATTTCTCCTCTGGGCAAGCTGCCTGCTGTATGGTGGGGAACCCCACTGCACCCACCCACGCGGCAAGGGATGACCGTGTCCCTGTCCGCATGGCTCCTGTGATGGCTTGCCCATGGCACACACAGCATGGGTGCAGACAGAAGTCACAGGTGGCTGGGCTCTGCGGCCACCCACCAGCAAGCGCGGGAGCCTCCTTCCAACTCCAGAGGCTTTGCCACGCTGCATGGGGAGCCAAGGCTGCCTGCCATGCTGTCAGCCCCTGCCTGCCCCGTCCCACCATGCGGACAGCCCCTGCTCGCCCTGGCTGCTGGTGGCAGAGCCACTCCCTCCTCCGGGACTCACGGTGCAGGATGGCTGCATCCAGGGCTCCCCGTCCACCTGCATGGGCAGCAGCTTGGATGTCCTGCGGGGCACAAAGAGAGGGAACGCAGGGTGACACAGGCACAGGCTTTTGCCATCAGTCAGGCACTCAGCCCGGTCAGGGACAAATACCTGATGGTGACGGACGAACATTGGGCCAGTCTCTTTCCAGCGCTCTTCAGCCCCGTGTAGATCTGCCCCATCTCCATCGCACCCTCCAGCCCCACCACCTCCAAGAGGTGGTCGCTGAGGTCTGCAAGAGAGAAGGATCCGAGTCGGTCCCCCTGTCCCCAGGGATCCCCTGCCTTCTGCCATCATCCAAAACATCAGGACCAGCACACCGGGGCTGGTGGCACTGTGGGGACATGTCCTGATGTCCCCTGTGCTCTGAGACTGCCCAGCTGGGTGTTTGCAGTGTTGGACAATGCTGCTGTCCAAAATACCCCTGGTCTGAAATAGTGTCTGGACCTCCATGGCTGCAGGGTGGCAGCCCAGATCCCCACCAGCCCTTTGACCGCTTATTTGCAGTGTTGTATGAAATTGCGGCAGACACCCACCCCAGGCCTGCACCCCCACAATCGCCTGGGTGCCCTGGGGCACTGCAGCCCCCCAGGAGCCAGGATGCACCACGGAATCCTCCCTGGGAGGGATCCCAGGGCATCGCCCCTTTTCCCAGCTCCTCCTGCTCTTCTGGGCCATCACTGAAGGTGCCCAACACTGGGGCAACTCGCTCCATCTCTCACTTCCTTCAGGGTCCTCTTTCACCCTTGGTGGACCCCCCCCCCCTCCTGCCCACCTGCAAATGGGGACATGCCCAAGGGACCGACCCCACTGCCTCTCACTACCCTTTGGAACAGGCCTTTGCTCTCCCCCACTCCCTGCTGCCTGTACCCATGGGCACGCCTGGTGAGGGACAGCCAGTGACAGCCTGGGATGGCCAATGACACAGCCGTCCTGGCAGCCATGCGGCGAGGGGGCTGTTTCCCACCCCAGCCCCAGGCTGTGGAAGGTGGCAGGTGGAAAATAAGGGTGCTTGACCTATTTTGCTGGCTGCTTTCTAAACCACTGCTCTCTGGGGGGGAACCCTGCCAACACTTTGGGCTGCCTGCGCCCTGCCCGTGCCCACGGGGACAGCGCCGGTGGCCACAGCAAGCGGGTGTGAGGTGCCGGCTGGGGCACAGCATGGGTACCATGCTGTTCCCAAAACCCCCCAGCCAGGCTGGCAGCTCTGCGGCAGAGCTTGGGAAGATGCTTACGAAAGCCCTTGGTGCCAGCTCTGCAGCTCCGCTTCCGACTCCTCCTCTGCAGCAGCGGGTGCCCAGCCCTGCAGTGGCTGCCTGCCAGCCCCACGGGGTGCGGGGGACTGCCCAGCCTCATGCCCGCAGGTGACGGGTCCCACTCGGGCACCCCCCGAGCCGGGATCCCCAGAGGGTGGGGGAAGAGGTGCCTGGCAGGGCGCAGGAGCCACATCCTCTCTGGCCACCATGGCACGGCATAACCAGCCCTGAGAAACGCAGTGCTGGGCCATACCTAGGCAGGCAGAGCCACCCTCCTTCACCAGCTTGGCCAGATCATTCTTGGGGTCACCCCAGCACCCCAAAAGAGAGGGAACCGATAGCAAAGCCTTCAGTGCCGTTGCTCCAGCGCCATGTGCACTGAGCCGCAGACAGAACCGGTGGCTGCCCAGCTCCCTGTTGCTAACCCCCCGCACCCCGCAAACCCCAATTGCTGCCGAGCCCCGCCGCTCACCCTGCACGCAGAACTTGAGCTCCTTGGTGTCAGTGACCACCGTGGCGTGCAGCTTCTCCGGCGCTTTCTTGCCCAGCCGGTTGTAACTGCGCTGCTTCTTGGTCTCGCCCCAGAGGTTGGAGCCACCGTACATGCTGGGGATGTTGAGGACGGCGATGCCCTCCAGGGACGCGTTGCTCAGGTCTAGCAGGGTCCCGTCGCACTGCCGGGCACATGGGCAGCGTCAGGCCGTGGGGTCGGCGGCGAGATGGTGCCCAGTGCCCGCGGAGCCCAGCCTCCTCTCCCCGCCTGCCCGCCAGAGGAGCAGGGGTCCACGAGCGTGGTGTGCCGCTGGACAGTCCCCAGAGCAAACCCGCTCCAGGGTGGCATGGGCAGCCCCAGGGCGGCTGGGGCTGGAGGTGCAAGCAAATACCCCCTGCCTTTGCTTTCCTAGGGCTGACAACCACCGTCTCGCCTTCCTTGTGCTGCTTTCCCCTCTATTTCAATATGAATTTTACTACACGTCTGAGATGGCAGTTTCGAAAAGAGAATTTCCTATGAGGGCACATAAAAATTCGGCTGGGCTTGGTGCTGCAACCCAAAATAGGATGCAATACCACCTCGGCCCTGGAGCGACCTCCATCCAAGCATCTCTAGCACATGTTTCCCCAACCTCCCCTTGTTCAAATTGACCCCAAAGAATCAGAAAGTTTTGCTGCCCCAAAACTAACTCTAACCAGTTTTTTCTTCAAGTGCAATTTGGAAACTAGAAATGAGACTGGAAGGAAATGATAAGAAAGGTGCCAAGAAGAAAAAATGTCAGGTTTTGGAGAGAAAACTGCAAGGCAGCACAGAACTGGTATCCCGGGCTTTGCTGTCATACAGCAGGACTGCCTCAGCTGAAAATTCCCTGTAGAAGGTAAAATATCTGTTGCCTGAGGCTTTCCCACATGACTGGAAGCAGCAGCCATGGAAATGCATTTCTTAACTTCAGGTCTTCTCACTCTCATGCTACCTGGACAACGCTGGATCCTCTTTCTAGATACCTCTGGATGCAGCAGCCGCTTTCCCATGCAACTGTATTTTCTCTAGTGCATTTGTATTTTCTTTTATACATCCGCTCTCTACCTGCCACGCTACGCTTCAGCAAATACCAGCACATTTTTTTCCTTGCATTTTGGTGATGTGACAGCATTTCTGCTCTCTCTTGCTTTGCCGAGAGGAATGCGAATGGGCTGATGAGCCCCTGCTGCTGCTTTGACTCCAGTTGTTTTCCTCTAGCAAAGAGTGAAGGTCTCCAGCTTCTTTTTAATACGCTGTCAGTAAGTGCTGAGCATGCCAGCTGCATGTATGTGGAGCTGGATGCGCACACGAGCAAACGTCTCTGTATGTTCAAATCTGCTCTGCCTCCCCTGATGCTCCGAGATCTTATTTTTAGCCTCGCCTTGAAAGCAAAAGGCAGGACTCTTCTGGTTTGGGAGTGAAGAGCTGCCTCTCCAAGGCTTGTAAAGGGTGTAAATCCTTTCGTTCTCAATACATCTTAATGATATCGAGATTTGTAGGAACAGGAAAGACCCTAACACTCTGAGCGGCAGATACCGAGTGAGAGGGCTCTGATTCCTTGTGGGACGGACAACACATCCCACACCCGGCTCAGCCGAGCATCACCCCCAACTGCAGGCATCTTTCCTGCCTGCCTGCGAGGTGGCCGGTATTGACCTGGCCGCGGTGGGATGGGAGCAAGTCTGCTGCCCAGGGCTGCCCGGGCTGTGGGATTTCTGGGGATGCTGTGGGAGCCCGATCCTGCCCGGAGGGGCGTGTGGGGCGGGCAGGACCACGTCTGCCCACGTCTGCCCATGCACCCAGGCACGCGGGGAGCGATTTCTCCTCGTGTAGCCCTCCCCTGTTAGTGTGCCAGCGAGCTACAATGGGCTCTTTGAGCAGGGGCAGCTGACGGCGCGCTGGCAGCGATGCTGGAAGTAGAAATTTGCAGCTGGGGAAAAAAGCAAATTCATTTCCAGGAGCTGTAGGGGAATGAGTGCCAATTTCCAAAACAAAACTGCCATTTCTCTGCAAGGCTGACAGTTGCCTGGGAGCCGGAGGGAGGACAGGCTGCCGCTTTCAACTTCAAATACTGCGGGATTAACGCTTTCCTGCCAACGCGCGCTTGGTGGGGAGCGCGTGGGCAGCATGTGGGGCACCTCGTGCCCACCTCTGGCAGGATCAAACCCTACGGACCTGGACTTTATCTGCCCCGGGATGCTGGTGTGTGGCCGGTGAAGGGGGTGAGACAGCTGTATCCCTGCTCCTGCCCCTACCTACCAGCTGCCGAGGGCACAGCTACCCCCTTCGGCCGTTGGGAAGGGCTGAAACTCCTCGCCTAGAAACAGGCTTCAAAGTCCCTCTGCCCATGGCCACACATGCCGCACCGCGCCGCTGGCTCCCTGGGCTCTGCCCGCTCTCTGCCCACTGCCAGCGACCCTGTGCCCACCACCTGGTCAGACCTGCGCCAACCCTTTGCAGCAAGTGATGGTTTTTTTTCCCCTTTGCCCTCAAGCCTAAGTTATAAAAGGGTCGTTTATCCAGAGATAAGAAGAGGCGGAAGTTTACAGCGAAGCACGGCCCAAACCCCCCCAGCGAGAGCAGAGAAATGACAGCGCTCTTAGCAACCATGGGCCCTCCTCCCCGCTCTAATTAAAGGCTGTTTCCATGTCATCCAACGAGGGCTGGGAGCAGACGCGGAGTTTACAGAGAGAATATTCCAGGCACGCTCTGAAATACAGCTGGAAGATGGGGGGGGGGCGCGGGGGGAAGTACAGGGCTATTCTTCTGCCTGCAGCTGGCCAGCTTTGCAGCAAGCGCCGCATGGTGGAAGAGCGGGTCCTGCCAGTCACCGCATCCTCCTACTGCCGTAAGGGGTCAAAGCTGCCGCGGCATCCCCTCCCCGAACAGCCAAAAACTCTGCCCAAAGGACCCATGGGTGACATCTCCCAAAAAGCCTTTGTGCCGTGGTGGGAGCCAGGGACCATGCTGGGAAACCCACCTCCACCTCAACGTAGTCGTGGAGCTTCTTGCAGGTGGCTGCAAAGGTCTCCGACGTCCCGAATTCGAAGTACCACAGCTTGTTCTTCATCCTGGGGCAGAGAGCAGCATCAACATCCCGCTCGGGAGCGGCACCTCGCCCCAGCCCAGCCGGCAGCAGGATGGGTTTCCAGAGCCTCTCTGGAGCCATCGTGATGGGGACACGAGCCATTAATGGGGACACGAGCCATCATGGGGAGGGACGGCTGGCACCACGGCCCCAGGGAGCTGTGTTGTGGGACAGGGGTTGGCTCAGGCAGACCTGGCTCTGACCCTTCTGCGGAGCACATGGATGCGGGTGCTGGGTGGTCCCCCAGCACGGGATGGGGTTCCTCCACCGGCTCTCAGCAGAGCTGGGCGTGGACTGCTGTCTCTCGACAGGGCTGCCGGGAACAGGGTACCCCATGGAGGGGATGTCCCCCACCTCAGCACCTTGCCTCGCACCCTCCCAGCACCCTGCCAGGTAGCCCCCGACCACTGCTCATCCCCTGCATCAGTTGCTGCGCCAGGCTTCGAGGGGGAGCTGTAAGCTGAAGGGAGCTGAATTTCAGAGCGGAGCCTGACACTTTGGTCCATTTGTTTTTTTTCTAGCAGGCATTTCTGAACATGGGGATGGGGGTTGCAAGCCACAGCTCCTGCTGCCGCCATGCCATTTCCCTGCACCCCGAGCACAGCAGGAGCGAGCTGTGACCTGCTGCCTGCCCTGCCCTCGCCGCCTGGCCTGCTCCTGCCGGTCCTGGAATTTGGTGCTAATTATAAAGCATGAATGAACGTAATTGGGTGCGCGGCCAAGTTCGAGCAGCCTGCCACGCTGCACGGGGCCCAAAGGAGCACCCTGGACCCACACTGTGCCTAGCCCCTGTCCCCTGGCTGTGCCTGGCGCATCCCCTGCCCGTGCCCTAAGGTTGGCAAACACCGGGCCACCTCCTCGGGGCTGTTGCCGGTCCCATGGGGAGAGGGGTGAGAGGAGCCCAGCGAGATGGGAGCAGGCTCCAGTATGTCCCCTTGGCATGGTGCAAGGCTTTTGCGGGGGACCATGGGCAGCTCTTACCTGCTGTTGAATTTCTCGGGGTGCTTTTCTCGCATGACGTGGAAGCGGTGGGCGATGGAGGCGTCCTGCAGCGAGAGGGAGCGCAGAGACGTTGGCGGCGCAGCAGGGAAATAGAACCCCCCCTCTGCACCCTGTGGACAAGTGCCATGATATGGGGGCTCAGCTCTTTGCCCTCACAGCTGGTCCCTGGGGCACGGGGGCACAGGGTGGGGGCCACGCCGAGGCAATGGAGGCACCCTCAGCCAGGCTGCTCACAAAGCATTGAACGGGCTTGTTAAGCGAGACATAATTAGTGCACTTGGCCTCCTTCCCTCATCGTAGGGGCTCCACATGGAGGTGATGCTGAGGGAGGGAGAAAGGGCTACCAGCAGGGCAGTGGGGCTTTGGGGACACCCCAGGACCTGGCACCCTGACAGCTCCCCTGGCAGGGTGGCAGCTCTCCTGAAACTCCTTGCAACCTCTCCTATGCGAGGTGGGGGATGTTTAAGCCTGACTTGGAAGCTGTCACCAAATGCCACCTGCAGTGACATGCCCTGGCATTAGCAGGAGCTGATGCGAAACTAGAAGCATCCCGCAGCGTTGCCGGGTGGGTGACCCGCGCCGTGGTGGTACTGCTCAGGTACCCATGGCCCAGGACAAAGATGTTGCAAGCCCCTGGGAAGAGAAGTGCTTTCCGCTTTGCTGTTCATCCAAAGCCCTGCCACTCCCAGGACTGACCCCCGGTGCTGGGGAAAGCCCTATGGCACGGGCCTGCCGTACTCCCCAGGCTCCCTAACCCTCCCTGGGTTAGGAAAACATGGGGAAACACAGGTCTGAGCACCAAAGCAGGGCTTTGACGATGGATGCTGTCTCGGCAAAAGCTTCAGGTGGGGTGTCCAGCAGATCTCAACCCATCCCTGGGACCCCAAACTTCTCTGAACCCTATTTAAGCTCCCCACACACTTGGTCTTGCAATATTCCCGGCTGGGAAGAGAGAGATTCCATGCCTGTTTATGCATTTAAGTGCTGCCATTACAAATGACAGTAATACCAGAAAAACAATGCCGGGAGATGGAGGGAGGGTGGGAACATGAGCAAGGAAGAGCAGGGAGGGAGAGTCCCCAGCTTGGGAGACTCAAGCTGAAATGTAGAATTTCACCAAACACTTAGAAAGGCTTTTATAGTCTCTGAGGAATGTCACCAGGAACCAGCCCCTGCTCTCGGGCATTAACTCAGGGCTGGCTTGGAAGAGGGCTAAGGATGAGTCTAGGAGGAGACAAGGAGGGAAGTGGGGGGGGCTGGCACCCCTCGAGCGCACCCACCAGGCTGGATCGCTCCAACGACTTCACGGCAGCCGAGGCATTTCCCACCGGCTGAGTTGGAAATGGCCCTGGGAATCCCCTGATCCAGGTGGGTTTGAGGCTACGCTGTGCTGGGGACCCAGGGGACAGCCCCCCTGATCCGCTGGCCTCCAGAGCTCTTCTCTGCCCACTTTGCTATGGCCAGGCAGCTCCGGAGGGCACGGCACAGCGCTGGTCTGGGCACCGATTACTAGTTCTGTGCTGTGCTGTTGTCTCCAGCTAGAATACATGTGTGCTGTGCTCTGGGCTGCTCTTAGGACCCATCCCTGCCCTGCAGTACTCACCACCCCGATGGAGAAGTAGTTGTTGATGATGGTGGACGGGACAGGGTCTCCATTGGCCTCTCTGTCAGTGGGAATGACATCTATCTGCCAGCGGTCCAGCATCACCTCCGTGCTGTGCTCGATGTCTTTCAGGACCTTCATCAGATTGCCTCCTTCATAGCCTGTAAGGGAGAGAAGATGGGCATTAGGGAAGGACGAAGGAGGGTGAAGGGGAGCACAGTCATATCATGTGGGGCCAGAGGTAGTTGGGTGCCGAGCATCCAGGGCAGGCTGGGGCTGCTGCTACGGCACCAGCGAGATGTTCAGCTCATCCTTGCAGTGGTGGCAGAGATTTCAGCTAATGGCACAGCTCTCCCAGATGAAAAAGGTTGTTGGGGAGGACCTGGCTGGTGGGGGTTTAGAAAGCAGCAGCTGCTTTTTTTGGAAGGGGTTAGAGGCACCATCAGGAGTCACCAGGGCTGAGATGCAGCCCCGAGCCTCATCCCAAGAGCCCAGGAGCCCTCTGTCCCCCAGGACAGCACCCACCCAGCTGCACCGGATGGTTCCCATGGGCCGGCCACCCTCCGGGCAATGCTCGCCTGGCCTCACCTCCTCCCCAGCGCAGGCACCGGGCCAGGTCATTGCCTGTTCCCAGGGGCAGGACAGCCACCGGTGGGTGCTTCACCAAGTTCGCCTTGTCTGCAATTCAAGGGGAAAGAGAGGTTTGGGGCTGAAAGGACTCATTCCTTGCTCCTCTCCATGTCCCTCCTCGGACGGCAGCCCAGAGGCGATGCTGTTGGCAGGACCCCCACCCCGCTCTCGCTGGGGGTAGGAAATATCGGGAACCCACGGCAGATCGCCGAGGATGCAGGTGGACGATGCTCTGCGGGAGCATGCCTGCTCCTCGCTCACCTATGCAGTCTAGGATCCAGCCCACTGTGCCGTCCCCTCCGCAGGCCAGGACGCGGAAATCCGGAGTGTCCCGAAAGAAGCTCAGCCTGGAGAAAACCAGGAGAGACAAGGGGTGATGTGGGGGAGAAGGGGCCGGCGGGAGGGGGCAGAGGATCAGCCGCAGCATCTCCGTACCCCGGCGCGGGCCCGCCGCGGTCTAGGTTGTACACTTGGCGTGGGTTGAGCAGGTAGTGAAATTTCCGGAGGACCCTAAGGCAAGAGAAGCGTGAGGGACGCCGCAGGGGCGAGTCCCCCTCTGGGAGAGGTGCCGGGGCAGCCCGAGGGACTGGCAGCCCCCGACCCCAGGGGGATGGTCTCCCCGGGCAGGACCCCACCTACCGCTCCCCTTGTCTTCCTCCACTCTTGGGGTTCACAAGCACCAGGAGAGGGTGCGTCCCGGGCCGGGGGCTGATCTGGAGGGCAGAAAGCGCGGCTGCGAACACCCGGCCGCTGCGGGGCTTGGCGCGTACCGGTGGCAGAGCTCACCGGCAGCCCGGCGTGGGAACCTACCTGCAGTCCTTGCCCATCCACCGTGGTGGAGTTGAACTTGAAGGCCTGGTTGTCCTCAGGGCTAGTGCTGGCAGGGGAGTCGCTCTCCGATCTCCGGCAGTGGGACTGCCTGTCCTTTGGGGAACAGAGGCATGGACGTGCACGCTGCCTCGTGAAGGCAGCGCCGGCAGCCAGGGAAGGCAGGTCAGCCGTGGCGATGCCCTGCCAGGTCCCTGCCACCCAGCAGCAAGGATAGGAACTTACCAGGACGACGGGGCAGATGTAGGAAGGCAGCAAGATGTGGTCCCGCAGCAGGCCCCCATCGCACTCCGGCTTCACGTGGGAGGCACATTTATTGTGGAGCTGGAGGGAGCAGGAGGAAGGGATGTCGGGCAGGGGACGCCAGGCCATTTGTGAGCCTCTCCTCCCCCAGGGCTGGCCACGCAGCGTGCGCTGCAGGGTGCACCCCAGGGTACACCCTGGGCCCCCCACGCCCACCTACTCACAGTGACTTGGCACCAGACGCAGTGCAGGCCAGTGATGCCCTGGTAGCACTTGATGCTCTTGTGGCATCTGTCGCACTTGACGGGGGAATTGCCCTCAATCCAGGTATGCTGCATCACCTGCAAGGCACGGAGCGGGGGGCACTGCGGGCGCAGCACCCACCGACCTGTGGGTGTCTCCTCTCCGCTAAGGGCTGCTGCCATGACGTTGAAGGGTGGCTTGTTGTCCAGGGGTGCTGTCTGATCCAAACCAGCCCCTCACATGGCCGCCTTCCCTCCCTGCTGCTCCATGCAGTGCATCGAGGACACCCGTCCTCCACCCAGAGCCATGGCAAACCTCAGGACTGGGGATCCTGCAGGTCCCTGGGGGCTGGGGACAGGGCGTGTGCTGCCAGGCTCTGGATGCTGGGAATGCCTGTGAGCTGCTGCCCAGGACCAGAGGGGCAAATCCCAGGGGAAAAAGCCATGGGGGACCAAGGCAGGAGACCAAGGGCCAGCTGCTGCTGGTGGTGCTGCCTCCAGGAGGGCTCCATAGGAGACCCACGGGCTCAGAAACACACCAGCTGCCTACTCACACTCGTGTTTCTCTTGGATTTCACGTAGGTGCTGATGCAGGAGGCAATATCTTTGGACACGCACCTCTCATGGACGGTGTACTTGCAGACTGGCAGGAGAGAAGAAATTGGTGAGCATCACTCACCGGCATGGGCACTGCCCCCTCCCTGCTCATCCTGCAGCACCCACAGGACTGAGCACCAACAGGGACAAGTCCCCCCTCCCTGGGGCACTGGGATGGGGTGGGAGCCACCAGCCTGGGGGCATGGGGGGCCAGGACTCACAGGAGCAGCAGAGGCCCTGCTTGCGGACCCCCAGCAGCATGGTGCGGCAGAAGTTGCAGTAGGCAGGTTTCTTGAAGTGCTTCAGCCTCCAGGCATGCTGCCCATCGTCCTTCACGTTCTGCACAGCACAAGAGTGGAGGGCGAGGGGGGTCACTCCCCTGCTGGGGGTCCCAGCCCACTCAGCCCACCACTTTTATCAGCTTTTCAGCCTGTAAAAGCCCCCAGCATGTCTGTGGGAGTTCGCTCCCATCTGGACCATGGGCTCCCCCTGCTCTGCTTCTCCCTGCTGTTCCCCCGACCATTCCTGCCACCACGTCCCCCTGCTCCCCGGGCATGTCCAGCTCCTGGCACTCCTGGCATGGAGTTCCAGCTCCCCACAGCCCCTCGGCACAGCCCAGCCGTGGGAATGCTCTGCTGGTGGCTGATGGGAAAGTGACTCCACATCTGGGACCAGGCCACTGCCACCATGGGGTGACCAAAGCAAATCTCTAGCAGCTGGGTCCAGGCACAAGCGCTTTGCAGGAGTCACTTAAAATTCCCCATTTTCTTGAATCTTCCTGCCAGAAAGCCTGCCCCCCTGCCTCTCCATGGGAAGCAAAAACCAGAATAGGCACTGGGGAGCAAAAACCTGGACTTCCCCTGCAAATTATTACCCAATGGCCAGGGATGCACCCCAATGAAACAAAGCCCAAAAGGATGAAAAAGCAACATAGGGGAAATAAGGAGGTCTCAAACCACCCTCCCTCTGCTCTTTGAAGCTCACCCCAGGAGAGTGGCTGGCATTTTAGGTGCTCATCTTATTTTTTGATTAAATATTCATCAAACCGGAGTGCACTACGAAGCCAAGGAGCAAACCCAGCCTGCTTAGGCATGGCAGCTGGCAACGACCACAGCTCAAAACTGAGCTTGTGATGATTTGGGGGGTGAAGGCCGGTCAGCAGAGGCAGGGTGGGGTTGTCTGCAGGGGCTGGGGAGCCAGGGGCTGGCGTGGGGCTGTGCAGGTGCTGGACAGGTGCGCGGCCCATTGCCGGGGGTAGGGTGCCCTCCTGTGGTCCCTGCACACCCTCCATCAGCACCCTTCTCTCCACTGCTGCCAGCCCCGGGCTTTCCTCAGGGAGCGGGCAGGGTGGCTGGATGCAGCCGAAGGTGGTCCCCGCACGGGCACTCACCGTCTCCATCCCCAGGAGGACCAGTAAAGGGATGGTGGTCATGCCACCCCGGATCCACTCCTCCAGCGTCACGGTCCCGTCATGGTCGTAGTCAATCTCCTCCATCATTGCCTTCAAGATCTGGGGGAGGGAGGAGATGTGGTGACACAGCAATGCCACCTGCGAACCCCAGCTGCTGGCAATGGCCGAGAGCCCCTCCCGGCCCCCCGGCTGCCCCCAGCCCTGGCACTCACGGGCTTCAGCTCGGTGGAATCCCACTCCAGGTACTCAGCCACGTGCACCATCTGGTTGATGATACGATCCAGCTCCTGAGCACAGAAAGACGACGGCACCCAGCGCTGAGGGATGGCTTCTGGCACAAGTGGCGTGTCCAGCCTCAAGCCCCCAAACTGGGGACATATCAGGTCTATGTCCTGATACGCCCAAGGCTGCCTCAGGCCCCCTGCCCGCACAGGGGGCCAGCAACACCCCACTACTCAGTGGGTGCTGGGTGCTGCTTTCTCCTCTGAAAATCTGCCAGAAAACCAGCAGTGGGTTTTCCCTCAGACAAACTGCTCTGATAAAACAGATTTTTATTTGCAATGGGTCCCAAAGGACAAAGAGAAAACATCCTGGGGGAAGGGTGTGCACGATTTTTCCTTTTCTGAAACACTGTGACCTGATGTAGAGCTCCAGTTACTGGTGGGTGGATTTTTTCTAGCTGCTGCTGGATGCTGCAGAGCTGGCGTGTGTTCCCCAGCCCCACGGTCCAGCCCCGCAGCAAATGCTGCTGCCTTCCTCCTCCCTTCCCATATCCCTATTCAGCTCGGAGCACTTCACTGGGGGAGTGGGCACCCCGATAGCACCCTGCATGTCTCCAGCCCCACGAGTGGCCCCGGCTTTCTCTCCCGAGGGAAGCTTACCGAGCTATCCAGGAGGCCATTTCCATCAGTATCGTAGAGGCGAAACATAACTGGAGGGAGAAAAGAAGCCAGCTGCCGGTTAGAGCCCAGCCCCAGGGAAGCCCGGGCAGCCAGCGCTTGGTGCTGGGGCTGCCGGGGCTGTGGGATGCGAGCAACACCATGCCAGCTCAGCCTGGGCAAGACGTGGCCTGAGCCCATAATGGGCTGTGGGGTATTGGAGGGAAGCCGTGGTCCCCACCTGGACACGGGTCCCAGCAGGCGGGAGCAGAGGAGCGATGCTGAGTGCCTTTCCCAAGTGCTTTTAACGTTTCAGCATTAAAAAGTAAGCAGGAGCGCCCAGCCCCACGCTATTCCTTGGGCGAACCCCCCCCAGGGCGATGCCCCCTCCTCCACGTGGCATGACCAGTAGCCTGTGGTCCCAGGGTCCCACTTACACTCCAGCTTGTCCTCTGCCCGTCCCCTCTCCAGCAGGGACAGGTAGCAGACGATGTCCTTCAGGTGGACCACCTGGGCCAGGGGGGTGGGGGGTGGTGGGGGGGTGGCTTTCAGGGAGCTGTGGCTCTTCCGCAGGCTGAAGGGTAACCTCTTCTCCACAGTCCTCGTGCCTGTGAGCAGGGAGAGGGGGATGAAGGCCATGCACAAGGCTGGCCGTTTGGGCCAGGAGCTGTCCCCAGGTGGGACACAGGGCTGGCAGCACGTAAACTCTGGGGCAGGGACCCATTCGGCGTGGGGCTGCGTGCCATCACAGACAGGAGCAGGGCTGGAAACTGTCCGTCGGTCCCCAGAGCGTAGACCCCTACACCGCCAGCACTGCAGGCATGGGAGGGATGAGCGGCAGGAGCCCCCGGGGATGTGTTCTGCCAGGGACGAGCACCCAGCCAGAAGGAGAGAGAAGCTCGGCTGGTGGCGGGGCAGCTCGACGGGCTACTGGGACACCCCCATGCTTGCGGCTGCCCATGCCGACAGCGGTCTTTGGCAGATGGCTGCTCCTGGCAGAGGGGCCCTTCCCAGCGCTCCCCTCATCGGTGGCTGGCAGGAGCTGGGCTGGAGGCAGCCGTGACTCACCGCTCCGATCCCCCCTCGCCGGCAGGTAATTAAGACATTGACTGGCGGGGGCTCTGCGGGACGGGATCGGCAGCTTAAGTTTGCAAAGCAAAGGCGTCAAGATGCCAGGAACCCGCCGAGTTTGGAAGGTCACCGCCACCGCACTGGGCACCTGACCGGCTGTGCTGCCGGGGTGAGGTGTGGCTCCGCAGCTTGGGAAACCGGGGAGGGCTTGTCACTCCCTGTGTCCCTCATGGACCCCTGGCCAAGCTCACCTGGCGACTGAGGACTGAGCAGGGACCCGGAGGAGATCTTCGAAGAGCCCGAGGAGTTGTGAGCAGAAGGGGTGCCGGTGGTGGACTTCTGGGAGGATGACCTGGACCAGCTCGGGGAGGCATTGGGGATCGATGCCGGGGTGAGGGATGCCGGCTGCAGCTCAGCCGCGTTGCTGTGGCAGCTCTTGGGCTCGGGAGTGTGTCGTCCCAGGGCACTTAGGAGCATTTTCCCATTGATCCCTGCAAAGCAGACGGATGCTCGTGGGCAGCGTGACACCAGGGTGCCTGTGCCCAGCAAGCCCCTTCCTCCAGGAACCTCACATGGGTGCCAGTCGCTCACCCAGGGTCCTCTGCTAGCCCCAAAGCAGGCTGGCATCCCAGCCCCAGGGCTCTCCGAGGGGCACTGCAGGCGGCCCCTCAACCTCCTGCCTGGCCCCATGGCTCCCTGGGTGCCAGCTGCCACGGTGCTTGGGACCAGGCAGGGAGGATGTGGTCCCCACACCACCAGCCAGAGCTGTTCCCAAGCCCTGACGTGGCAGCAGAGCACCCGGGGAGGGTTCTCCCTGTTCTTTTGCAGTTTATAGACCTTTCAGCAGATGTCTCCACGTGCTGCAAATCCGCCCAGGCTGGGGCCAGGGGAGGCAGAAGCTGGGTGCCTGGCACATGTCCCCTGCTCCGCGTGCAGCCACCCGTGCGCTCAGTGGCTGCCCACACCAGTACCTGCGGCAGGGGCATAGGCCACCTCTGTCTGGATGGAGATGCCGGCATTGAGTGACTTGGGCTCTGAACACATGGAGGAAAGGGAGGAATCAATGCAATGATGCCTCATGGGTCTCCCCCCGGGGGAAAGCCCTCTCCTCTGCAAAGGAGCGCAGGGTCCCTAGGAACCCATACGTCAGGCTGTGTGCTGGACCCGATGCCACCCACTGCGGGTGCCACCCTGCAACCTTCGTCCCCATGGGGTGGCGTGGGGGTGAGCCCAACATGCCGCCACGCCATGATGTGCCCAGCTGGGGGGCAGGGGCAGGGCTGGCTCACCGAGGGTGTTGAGCTGTGAGACGCCGGGGCTCTGACGCTGGGTCTCGGGGGAGGCTTGGCATATCTTACGCTTGAAGGAGGTGAAGAGGTGTTGGCAAAGCTCCTCGGGCACATCCGCCTCTAGGTAGGTCTTCATGAAGAGGCGAAAGCCCTCGTAGTCGATGGGCTGGGGAGGGGACAGAGGAGGATGATGGAGGTGCCCCGAGCACACCATGGGGTGCAGAGCTGCTGGCAGGGTGGGGATCCCATGCCCTGGGCCCCCCCTCACCAGGCACATCAGTTGCAGAGCCCTCCCCAAAACCACTGGCTTCTCAAATCCCAGCAGTGGGACCTAAAGGGATCCAGAGGTAGCAGGGCCAGAAGTCCCCAGTGCTGGCTGGCTGTTGGGGGCAGGCACGGCCAAGCCAGGCCAGCGGCATTCAGAGCAGAGATGGGAGCCGCAGCAGCCAGGGTCAGAGCAGGGGGAGTGGCAGGGAAGGGCAGAGCTGCGGTGGGAGGGCATTTGCTGGTGGCGGGGCAGCAACAGGTCTGAAGACCCCTTGCGTGGTGGGCAGCTTGCTGGAGGGGCAGGAGGCTCCAACAGAACCAGGTGCTCAGCTCTTGGCAAATGAGTGGGAGCTAGAGACCTTCTGGAACAGACCTTCTGGAACGGGGTTTTTGGAGGCAGAGGGGTGTAACGAGCTGTGCTCTGAAAACCTCCCTCTCCGGCGGGGCAAGGCATGGAGCAGCGGGACCCTCCAGCCCACCCCCAGGCCCTGGGGACTCTCATCCTCCCGAGGTCTCCTTGCCTCCTCCTTCCCCACTGGGCATCCCCACCGCATCAGGACATTGCCTTCCCGACAGCTTTTGTGGCCCCGGCTGGAGCGAGGGTCCTGTGGTGCCCTTGAATAGCTGGGTAGTTTTGCTGCCCCTCCTTGTCGCATTCAGCCCACTGATTTTTCTCATTTCATCTCGTTTCTAGTGATTATGGTCCCCGTGAAAGGCTCTGTCCTGCTGGCACACTAATAGGTCTCTCTGAAAGCACCACTTGGAAAAAATAACCCCAGCCTTCCCCAGGCGAGAACAAGAAGGCACAGAGCCTTCCCCTGTCCCCACACTGGCAACAGCAAAATTATTTGCTTTTGGGCGAAGAAAGAGTAAGTCCCTCCCAGCTTCTGCCTGGCAAGGAGATGCCCCAAAATGCTCTCAGCAAGGCAGCCGGCAGCCACCACGGGACAGCAGCATGGCTGCAGGGTCCTGCCAGCATCGGTGGGATGGGGTGGGATGGCTACGTGGAAAGCCTGGTCCCCGGGATGGCCGGGGGCTGGGAAAGATGCTCCCAATCTGTGAGAACATCTTCCCCAGTCCCAGGAGCATGGCCGTGGGGAGAGGTGGGGGGGCAGACAGACAGACCTGCCTTCTCCCGGCTGCTTTTAGCTGCAGGGCCTGGTAGGGAGCTGGGAGCTGCCAGCAGCATGGGGGAGGCTGGAAGGGACAGGGCCATACCTCTTCGGGGTTGTACCTCGAGAGGACGCCGTCCCCGTGGAACTCCTGCAGGACATCCTTGAGCTTCTTGGTGGAGTCTGGGGAGACAAAGGCATCGCACTGAGCACGGCGCCAGCAAGCCCCCTTCACCATTAGGCCACCAGTGGGATGGTGGAGACGAGTTTATCTGCTGGATATACAATTTCTGGTTCCTTCCATGCCTGGGAAGGGGCCACCCGTGCCCTACTTTCCCCCCCATGACTTTGGAGAGCAGAACATACATGTAAAGCTGGCCGGCAGGGATGGGTCCTCTTCCTCCTACCTATATGAAAATAAACACAGACCCAGAGCGAAGCTGCGGCACTGAGGAAGGAAAGCCCAGACCATTCCCTGGTCCCGGCTGCTCTGGGGGCGATGCCCTGGCCGTCCCTGCCCCGGACCCTCTGCACAGGTTTTGGGTGGCCACCCCCACGCTGAGAGCTGGTGTCTGCTGGCACCCCCTTGGCAGCCTGAGCCATCCCTGGAGCCTGCCCTGGGCTGCCCATTGACATCTCTAGGAGGTGCCAGGAGGGAGAAGTGGAACGGTATTGCTCCGTGCAAACTTCCACACCAATAGTAAATGGCCTGTGAGTTTCCCTGGCTGGGTGTCCTCAGAGCTGGAGGCACCTAGGTCCTTCCAAAATTGGGAAACAAGGGAAAAACAGAAGAAAATATCAAGGGGAGGGAATGTTAAGCCCAGACACATATCTCTGGGCATGTCCATTTAAAAGGCTCTCAGACACGCCAGCCCTGTTAATTACTGTGAAATCCTTTCTCCAAGTGGGCTGGTTGTGCTGGCTTCTGCTCCCTCCGTCCCTCTGCTGGGGATGCTGGGGATGGAGCTTGGTGCTGGACCACAACTGTCCGGGATGCCTGGGGCGGGTCTGGGTGTCGCAGAGCACAACCAGGGGCCAGTGTGAGCTCGAGGACGCAGGTCCTGGCCCCAGGCCTGGGGAGGACCTGTGGGAAGACCCCTGAGCCCTGCTCCCTGGCCTGGTGCCAGGCCACCCTCCCGGGGAGGGGGCAGCTGCCCACGCTGCAGCCTCACTCGCCACACTTTGATTAATGAAATGAAGATGCCATACATGTTCTGAGCTCAGCATTACAGATGGTGTTTTATGGTCTGTGATTCAAGAAAGCAAAGCTTGTTCTCCGGCGAGGCAGGACAAGATGCAGACAGCGATTCTGCACACACACCTCTGCCCGCAACCCTGCCCGCCCTTGCCCAGGATGCCTGGCAGGCGGGCAGGGTGCTGGGGGCAGCTTCACTGGGCTCTTCGCATTGGGACACTGTGCGTCCCCACGCTGCGAGCCTTGACCTGGTTCACCTTGCCCCTGCGACGCACAGCAGCCCCAAGCACAGTCCCGAGAACAGCCCCAGGGGGTTCCTGGGGTCCCCTTTGCCTCCCAGTCCTCTCCCGCGCAGCCGCAGGAGTCTGCTCACCCTGGGGCCACGCTGCCTCTACAAAGCAGTGCCCTGGAGATTTTACACCCCTTCTACCTTCATCCCACGGTCCCGGCTGGGCTTTCCTGCCCACCCTGCCCTGCTCTCAGCACCTCACCAGGCTGCACTGCTTCTCCATTGCCCACTGCAACGAGCATGCCCACATGCCGGCTCTCGGGCAGGTAGGACCTCAAGGACCTGGTTTCGGACCCCTGGGCTTTGCCCAAGCTCCCTCCCCAGCTGCTCGCAGCCCCAGGACCCCACAGCATCACTGCCAACCTCCTCTCCTCGGCAGGAGCTGCAGGAGAGGGTTGCTCTGCAAAAGCGCTAAGTAAAATTACTGCAGAGGGTTGGCAACCCGAGGCGAGCCATGGAGCAGCTCCGTGTGTTTAGGAAAAGCCAGCCTGCTTTTCTCATTGGCATTTCGCTTTGCTAACGAACGTGGGAGCCGGCCGCCTTCGGAGGCACTGAGCCGTGCTCATGTGTGCGTCCCCCAAAGCAGGGGGGGCTTGTGCTCAGCTAAATCCTCCCAGGCACGCAGGCATGGGGACTCCTCTGCCGTGCCCCACCAGTCGGTGCTGGACGTCAGGGACATTCCCAGCCTCCCCATCCAAAACCTAAGAAGTCATCTAGTTCTCCAGGAGGACACCAAAGACATCTAGGATGCCAGTCTAGCACAGATCAACAGGACTTGTAAAACCCCTCTCCCTGTCCCAGGGAGGATGCGTGGGGGGGTGTGGGGTACTCACAGTCCGTGTACTGCTGGAGCTGGGCAAACTCGGTGGGGCTGAGCGAGATCCACCCGCCATCGCTCATCTTTGGGTGGCAGGCCCCAAAGCGCGGGCCACAAGCCGCTGTGCTCACCGTGCCAGGCTTGGCGTTGCGGTTCCCAGCCGGCCGCTTGGTCACATTGGCACCGCGAGGGGCGCGGGGGGCTCTCGGCCGGCTGGCATCATCCTGCTGAGCCCACGGGCAGCAAAACCCCAGAGCTTCAGAGCTCAGCACCTTCCTCCCTAGAGGGGGGATAGAAAGAGAGGAGGGGGTCAGCAGCGCCCTGCCTGCAGCAGGCAGAGGCTGGCTCCTGCCTGCACAGGCTGCCCTGCCATGGCTCCGCTCAGGGGGGAAGAGTCGCCCACGGTGGTGATGGTCAGCAGAGCTGGCGCAGTGGGGGCATGAGCTTGGAAATGGGTTGCAAGGGTGCTTTCCCAGCTGGGGATGGCCCCCCACCACAGATGTGGTGGACCCCTGCTCCAGGTGCCCCAAAGGAACAGAGGAGTGCATTGGCCGCAGTGGGGGGCTGGCAGAAAGAGGGGCGAGCTCAAGGAGGAACCTCACCACGTCACCATCCCCAGGGCTCGGTGTCCCCGGGGACCCCCTCTGCCATGGAGCCAGAGCAGTGCCACCTGCAATGGCCGCAACTCTCAGCGGCTGGAGGCTGCGGCTCGACACGGGCAGGGAAAGAAGCTTGTCACCTTATTTACCCCCAGCATTTTCCAGGGGAACCCAGCATGATGGGAGCAGAAGGAAGGACATAATTAATTGGAGAAGATGTGGTGCCCAGAGGCAGAGGATCTGAACGAGTGGAAACTCCCAGCTCGCACCTCCATCTCCAAAGCTGGTGGTGATCTTTAGCTGGCTCCACCGCCGAGAATCATTGTAAATGAAAATCCACGTTCAAAATTGGGTGAGAGGCAACCTGCTTGGGCTGGAAAAACCTGCACCACAGAGGAAGTGTCAGAGGACCTCCAACCAAGCAGTCCTCTCCAGCCCAGCCATTTGCAAGCTTCAAAATTCATTAGCGTCTTCACTTAACCACATCAGTCACGGGGGGAAAGGGCAACTGGCCATCGAGGTGGTTGTTCTTCAAGGATCAGATTACAGCAGTTTGATCTCAATTTTAGGGATGTCTCCCTGCTATATGTTGGCTCACCGTTTCCACCAACCTGAGCTGATGGACTGGAGAAAGGAGAGCATGAGCAAGCTGGGAAGGGCCACATAACTTGGGGCGATGCTCAGGGAGCACCCGCACCCCCCACGGCTGGCTGGGCTGCCCACGGCATGGCTTTTCATTCGTGGAAAAAGGTATTCGATTAAGGTGAGCGAGTCATTTTGGGGACCTGCTGGCTCCCATGTGCCACACCAACCCCAGCCAGTGTCCCTAGGGACGGTCACATACAGAGTGCACCGGGGGCAGGCACTTAACCCCTCATCCGCCAGAATTACCCCCACAGTCAGTCTCTGGGATAGACCTTCTCCTTCATCCCAACCACATAGGGCAAGCCCCAGTGTCAGCAAGGAGATGTGACCCCCTTCACGGGGCTGTTGGGATACAATCAGGGCAGCATTGCTGCTCAGTCCCCAGCAAAACTGATTTTCTTTACTAACGTTATTTTGGCTTTAACTCCAGCCACTGCAAGTATTTCAGGGCGAGACACGGCCCAAGGGCAAAGCCCCGTGTTGGCGGAGGAAGAAGTGCTGCAGACCCCTCCTTGGGGCTCTGGGGAGGACGGTGACCCACCAGAATGCAGCCAAGAGGTTTTCCAGCAGCAGGGAGTGACTGCACACCTGGAGAGAAGCCCATCAAACCCCAGGCACACGTTCGCTGGAGTTAAATGACACAGTCCTGCTCAGCCCTTTCCTCCCGAGAGCAGCCGGGAGCTGCAGCTCAGAGCACACCCTGCTTCACTGCTGGGAGCTGCTGCAGCCACGTGCCGTGCGGGGTCGGCTGGCAGGCAGTGGGGATTTGCCTCGCGGCAAATTTTGCTGGGTATGAAGCCATGACCTGCCAGGGATGCTGCCGCCTGAGGATGCTCTCCAAGAGCTGGGCAGGTGCTGCTGCCACCCAGAAAAGCTCTCTGCCTTGGCTCTCAATTCCCCCTGCTAGCAGGAGACAGCCCCGGGGGGCACAGCCACTGTCCTCCGCAATCCTGTCCCCTGGTCTGGGGCTTCTTGGCTGCAGCGCAACATGGCTCTGAGGTTGCCAGGAGCACGGTGGGGGCTAAGCTGGCAGGGGCTTGGGGGACCCCCCCCAGGATGCTTCTGCTACTCCTGCCCAGGGCAGCAGGGGAACGGCTGCCTCCGGGCTGGGGGGACGATGCCACGTGCCCTTACTGCTCTGTCCTTGGGGCGCTCGTGTGGGGAGAACACACAACCCCGAGGGAAATGTGACCTCCCCACCCTCGCCGGGGTCCTGCTGGCCCCATGGCAACTCGCCTCCAGCCTGTGGCCATCCCAGCTCATTCTGGCGGCTCTTTGTCCCCATGCCACCAACTGGGGACAGGCTGGACACAACAGTTTCAGGGATCGACAAAAAACTACCCAATGTCTTCCTGCACTGGCATCGGTTTTCCGTGGAAAGGACAAGCAGGAATATGGTGTTTGCACCTTTCCAGGATGAAGGGTTTGTCCCGAGGTATCTCTGAGGCCAGTCCAGGAGAACTTAGTCTGTTAGAAACCCTCCAGGAGTGCACACAGGCTTTCCGTTTCCTGGCAAATGAGCTGTTTGGTTTGACCAGAACCTATTTTTCATCCTAAATTTATACAAGCAGAGACTGAGAGAGCAGAGCTGGCTCAGCCCGCAGAAGAAAAGGCAAAGGGGGGGACCTGGCTAGCTCCAGCTGCCCAAAGGAGTTCGGGTGCACCGAGCCCTCCCGCGACGGATGGCAGCAAAAATATTCCTTGCTTCTTTTAACAGCGGGTTATGGGGCGGCACAAAGCAATAGAAGGAAAGCAAAGCAGAGCTAATTGGGCCATCCCAAGGGGCTTTCCCCCAGCAATTGTTGGAATAACAAATGCCACTTCTGGCACATCAGCCTTGGATTTCAGGAAGGGCAGGAAAAAGCCTCCTTAGGAATCCAGCTGCTGCTCGTTTGGCCGCTCTCTGAATTGTCAGTGGCAAATTATGTTCTATTATATCAAATTTGCCTCTCTCTAAAAATAGCTCCCCTACTAGTGTTACAAATAACACCAGATTACCCTGCCTGAAAGCGCTTACCAGGACGCAGCCCCTCTCCCCCTCCTTGCTCCGTGCCCGCCAGCCACGCGCGTGGGCTTTGCCGTTCTGCCAGTACTGGCGGCGCGGTGTGACTCAGGGCAGCTGAAGTGGCTGGGGGAGGATGGAGATGGGGGGAGCCAGGAGAGCTCCGACCACCTCCCAAACCCTCCCAGGGGATTAGCTGGTGCCGGAGCCCTCAGGAAGCCCCCATGCAGAGCATCCTGCCAGACCCAGGGCCAGGGGAGGGAGCTGAGGGCTGGGCGAGGGGTGATGAAGAAGGCACCGTGGGGACCATCGCAGGGTGCAGGCAGAGGCGCAGCTCAGTGGGAGCCAGGGCCCGGCCGTGTAGGGCCTGAAATGCTCACGTCAACAAGGGAGATGCCAGGCTGAAGCTGGCGATGGGCCAGTCTCCGCCGGCAAGTGGGGCCTGGGCAGGCGGCGACAGAGCCAAGCTATGGGCAATAGGCACATCTTGGTATCCACCAGAAAGGGCTGCCCACAGGCACCCCCAGTGTGCGGGGGGCTCCCAGGAGCAGAGATGGGAGGGCAGAGGAGCTGTTTTCCAGCCAACCTCCCTTGCCCGTGAGCCTCCCCACTGGCCCCCGACTGCCCGGCATTGCCGAGGAGGAAGCACTCAGCTCCTGGGCTGCTCCCCCAGCGCGCAGCCCAGTGCCATGGGGCTTGCCGTGGGTTTGGGAGGGCTTATTCCACCGGCACCCGCCTGCCCTCTCCGGGACTGGAGCTAGTGATGGAGACCTAATTCTGCCCAAGCTGGAGCAGAGCCTCCAGGTGCCAGCAGAAGAGCGGCCGCTCATGCAGAGCCTCCAGCCTTCAACTGGCTCTGCAGGGACAGGCAGATGGGGCTGCAAGTGCATGCCCTGCCCACAGGAGATTTCTTCTTCTGATGCCCTTTGGGAAGGAAAAACATCAGCTCCTCGAGCTTCAGGAGTTGTCACGAGGAGGGAAAGCTCCTGCTGTACATACACACACGTGCACATGCAGAGGCTGTAGCTCTGTAACAGCAGTGGGGTACGGCACGGCCCAAAGCCGATCTCTTCCCTGGCATCCCTGGCTGAGCCCGCTAAAAGCCACAGTCACTCGCAACATCTTCTCCGGGAGCAGCAGCACAGGGGTTCCCTGCAGGAATGGCATTTTCCAGCCCGCCCGCCCCATCTTTTGGAAAGATCAGCCTATTTTTGTGTTGGACTGGGGAGAGGCCCCTGAGGCGGTGGGTGGAGTGTAAATCCCTCCTGTCCCACTGCAGCGAACAAACCCCAACCAAGTCACGCTCAAACTATTTTCTGCAATGACAGGAGAATGCACTTTTCTGCATTTTGCCAGCCTGAGAGGACACTCGGGATCTGCTTTTTCCATCCTGCCTGCCTGTTGCTCTCTTCATTCCCCCAGCCCTTTGTCCACCCACCCCCACAGAGCCAGACACGCTGCCCGGGTACCTTCCACCAACTTTGCTTTCAGCGCCGAGCACTGGAGCAATGAAATGTGCTAGCAAGGGTGCCCGGAGCACCCATGCAGGCAGCTGCCCATAAGCCTGCGCCCACCAGCCCCGAGCACCTCTTGGGGGAGGAGAGGTGCTCCTTCCCACCTGGAGTAGCTGCTTTTCGGTGCGTTGTGCCAGCTGCCCGCTTCCCTGCCTTCGGCAGCGGTCCAGCAAACACAGAGGTGGTTGTTGGTGCACAACCCCAAACCCTGCCGCGTGCACACATCTGCCAGGAGCACCTTGCTGGGCCTCCGCGCGTGCTCCCAGCTGTGGGGCATCCTTCCCTGGCAGCTTTTAAGCGAGTGAACAGCGTTTCGCTAAGAG